AGCCCTAGTATGCATACGGGTGCTGTAACGAACTCTGGTCATAGGATTAAGTAATGCCAACGTTGTTCAGTGTTTTTTGTGGGAGATTTATTCAGCGCTCTCCTGGCTGAGGTTTGGACGCGTGTGGTGTGTGTCTCCTCGCCATCGCAGTGATATAAAGAGACTAGACATGCTCATTTTATTTTATGTAGAAAAATTGAAACCATGCAGTATATAGTTCGTTTTTTTAAAATGAAGTACAGTGTGCACTGTGCACTTTATATGCTGGTTGCTACTGTGTGCAATAGTGTAATTATTTAATTTATGCTTAAATATTTATTTTCAGCACATGAACTTTTTTTGTTCCACTTTATGTTTTTAATATTTGTTAAATTGTTTATCTACTTCTTCTTGTTCTACCTCACATGTTTTTACTATTTGTTTTAAATATTAATTTTTGAAGTTAATTAAATGTTACTTTTATTAAATTGAGACCTGTAACATTTGTTAACATCATGTTATTTTTAAGATGTAAATTGAGGGAGCAAAATGTATCGGCTCCAAATATCGGCTCAAGAAAATCGGCAGCCCGTATCGGTCATCGGCTAAGGCTGATGGGGAAAAAATCGGTATCGGTATCGGCACTAAAAAATCCATATCGGTCAATCCCTAGTAGAGAGATTACCGTATGGACAGGAGAAGCAGCTCGTGGGCAATCGGGGAAACATGGAGGCAAAATGACAAAATAATTAATCAGAATACCTAACAAAAGTTTCTCCTGCTCCTAGCTCATGGACAGCTCCTACTCACACTCTCCGCCTCTGCATGTTTGGGAAGGGAATGATTCAGATTTCTCATGCCACAGCACTAGAAGACAGACGGGTCGCTCACGTCACATCTACGTCGTCAAGCTCTGTTTGAGTCTGCGCGTCAGGGACGGAAGTGCTAAAAAATCGCCAAAAACGGGCTTCAATCGTCTCAATGGAGTTCCAATGAGATCGCTCTGTCCATTTTTTATACTGTCTATGGTTCATCCACCCGGTGTAACAAGATGGCGAAAGTGTGGATCAACAATGGAAAGTGTGATCTAAAAACCTGAGACAATGCTAGTCATAAAATCTTAGAAATGCCCTAAATTATTTTTGGTAATCTCATCATGTTCCATGTACTTTAATGTCTTATATATGTGACATCTTACATATGTCTATTTGTCTTGCAAGGTTTTTATACAATATACCAAGATTTTGGTTTCACTAATGATTGCACAACTCATATAACTTTGATGTTACGTGTATCTACTAAGAATATTGTTTGTGGATTTACTGTCATATATAGTAATTATAATTTCCAAATTATCTTAAATCTCATATTACACAATTTTATTAAGGATTTTGTGTCTTCTTTGACTGTTATATGTATTACTTACAAGTTTCATATTGTCGTGTATTTTCTTCCTTGACCAGCAATAATGACCACTGACGACTTGAATTGAATAAACTGAACTGTTTACTGAAGTTTCTGAACTTGAATCATTAGATACAGCGCTCGCACATGAAAACAATCTCTTTCTCTTTTTTTTCCTCACATACACTGATGCATTATTGGTAGAATTCTCTTAAAGCTGAACACCCCCATTAATGTCAAACTGTTTCTGTTATTATTAAAGATAACAAATTCACATTTCTATTCTGATTAATTCACAACATCCTCCCCCCCATGAACAAATGTTCATCAACTTAAATCTCTAATGCATAAAGCAATTGAACGGGTCTCTTCAACACAGTCCCTGTGGATGTACGCAAAGCACAGGATCTAACTTTGCCATCTCTGCCTGGAAACAGCTCTTCAATCTTTCCCAATTTCCAGGTTTGTCTCGGCATATTGACATCTCCTATGAGCACAACGTCACCCATTTTCAACTGAGTAGGTTTCTGCGTGTTGCAGGAATGTGCAGATTTCAGATCCAGTAGATAATCCCTCCTCCAACGATTCCACAGGTTGGTCATGAGTCGGTTTCTGTATCTCCACCTTCTTGTCATATCACCCTTACTCACAGTGGGATGATCATAGTCGGCTGGAAATGGTTTTGGAGGTAGTGAAGTGAGTCGTTCACCAACTAAGAAATGTGCTGGCGTTAGTGGCTGCGGCTCATCAAGCTCATTGTGAACAAAAGTGAGAGGTCTGGAATTCAGTATGGCTTCTACTTCTGCAAGAAGCGTAGACATTTCTTCAAATGTGAGCGATGCCTTTCCTAGCACCTTCCTCATGCTCATTTTCACAGACCTTACAAGTCTTTCCCAAAATCCACCCCACCAGGCAGCTCGTTCTACAATGAAACGCCAAGTTATTCCTTTTCCTGAGAAGTATTCCAGGATTTGTGGATCTTTGATGGCTTTCCACAGCTCACTAAGGTCTTGGTTTGCTCTTTTAAAGGTTTTGGCGTTGTCCGAATAGATGACTTTACACAACCCTCTTCTGGAAATAAATCGCTTGAGTGCTAACAAGAAACTCTCTGTCGACTGACTTGAAACCAGTTCTAAATGCACCGCTCTCGTGACAGCACATGTAAACAGAGCAACATAAGCCTTGCATAATGCACGATCACCCTTCACATACAGCGGTCCTGCAAAGTCTATGCCAGTCACTTCAAATGGTGGTTTCTCAGATACTCTGTCCCTTGGCAATGGAGCCGTGTCCTGCTGTGCGGGCTTGACTTTGAATCTCTTACACACAGTACATTTTGACAAAACACCTTTAACGATTTGTCTGGCTCTCAAAATCCAGTATCTACTTCTTGTTTGCACTAGTGTGTCTCTCAAACCAGAATGCATGATGAATTCATGGTTGTACTGGACCAGCAACTCACAATATCTGTCTTTGTTGGGCAAAATCCATGGATGTTTCTCTCTGTAGCTGAAGTCTGACTGTTGGAGTCTGCCTCCAACACAGAGCAATTCGTCCTCGTCCAGAAAAGGTCTTAAATCTCTGATTTTTGAGTCTGCGTTCAATGTCTTTCCAGCTTTCAGCGAACTGATTTCAGGACTGAAGCTTCTTTCTTGTGTCAACTTTATCCAATACTTTTCAGCTTCAAACATTTCATCTGCAGTCAACTCACCACGCATCTTGGAGCTTGAACTGGCATTATGCACAAACCGCTTAATCCAAGCAGTAACTCGCAGAACTCGCTTTAGCTTACTGTACTTCATTAAGTCCACAACAGGTTCCTTTTCTCGTTTTTCACCGCTGCTGAGTTGCACCACATCTGCTGATCTTGTGTTAACTCACTAACCACAATTTCGTCACTTGTCTCTTCTTCACTTTCTTCCAACGGATTCAGTGTAGTCAGAAATGAAGGTCCGTTCCACCAAATCTCACTTTCCTTCAGGTTAGCTACAGTCAGACCTCTGGTGGGAAGGTCTGCAGGATTGAACTTGCTCCTACAGTGAGACCACATTTCAGGATTGGTTAAAAGCTGAATTTCTGACACTCTGTTTGCCACAAACTGTTTCCATTTGTGAGCTGGACTGCGAATCCACTGCAGCACAATCATCGAATCCGTCCACATATGAACTTGATGAAGCTCCATATTCAGAGGCTTTAACAGACTGTTTCCGAGTCTCGCTCCAATTACTGCTCCCATCAGCTCAAGACGGGGCAGTGAGATCTTCTTCAATGGGGCTACCCTGGACTTTGAAGCAACGAGGCATGTTGTTTTTGTTCCATCATCAGCTACTCGAAGCAGGTAAGCAACAGTGCTATAAGCTTTCTCGCTTGCGTCACAGAACACATGGAGTTGATGTGCGTTGTGTCTATGCATGCATTTTGATCCATACCAACGAGGAATGTGTATGTGATGGATCTGTGGTAGCTCTGCACACCATCCTTGCCATTCTTGTGCAAGATCCGAGGGCAGCTCCTCATCCCAGCCAAGTCCTCGTATCCACAGCTCTTGGAAAAGACATTTTACTCGCACAGTAAATGGAGTCAGAAACCCTATTGGGTCGAATATGCGAGCAGATAGCTTTAGAACACTTCTTTTAGTATTCTCTCTCTTCGCTACAGCGTCCAACAGTGCAGTCAGGTCAAAAACAAATTCATCTGTTTGAGTTCTCCATACCAAGCCTAGTACCTTCAGCACTGATCCATGCGTTTCTGTCTCCTCAGCAGGTTCACTCATTGTCTCCTTCCATTTTTCCTTCAATGCAGCACAGTTGGTTGTCCATTTGCAAAGATTCATTCCAGCTGCAGACATAATCTCTTTTGCACCAGTAGTTATGTGGAAAGCATTCTCAACATCACTTGCACTCGAGATTAAGTCGTCAACATAAAGTGATTCTCTGATGATCCTTACTACTTCAGGAAATTGGTGTTCATATTCCTTCAGATGCCTTCTTACTGTAGCCGCTAGGAGGAATGGGCTCGGGGACACTCCAAACACCACTCTTGTCATCCGCAGTACACGTAGCCTTTCACCTGCGTCTTCATGAGGCAGTGCAGTGAACCATAGGAATCTCACTGCATCTCTATCCGTCTCAGCAAGAGAAATCTGCAAGAAAGCCTTTTCAATGTCTGCAGTAAAAGCAATCTCATTCAGTCTGAATTTGATCAGTATGCCAAGCAGATCTGGATTCAGGTTAGGACCAGTAAGTAGACAGTCATTTAATGATGGAACCCCAACTTCATGTGATGAAGCATCAAATACTACTCTGAGCTTTGTGGTTACCTTGTCCTCTCGAAGAACAGCATGATGAGGCATGTAATACTTTACAGCGTTTGAAGATGATCCATTCTCCACAACATCTTCGACAATGCCCTGCTGAAGGTAATCATTCACCACTTCATTATATCTGTGATACATTACCACATCTGACCGCAACCTCCTTTTCAGTCCTTCAAATCTTTTCTTTGCGATTCTGTAGTTATCTGGGAGCTCTGGTTTGTCAGGTCGCCATGGCAGCTCAACTTCATATCGCCCGTTCTTATACTGAGTAGTTTTTTCAAACATGCGAAGAGCATCCTCTTCTTCAGGGCTGTTGGACTGCTGCATGGTAATGCCAAGGGATTCGGTCTCCCAGAAGGCCTTCAAGCGTTCTGAAACCAGTGTGTCTTCATCGATATGGATGTGCATGCATGCTGCGTCGGAAACACTGGACATTGTGACTGGTCCCTGCACTGACCATCCAAAAATACTCTCAACGGCCACCAGTGCATCTGTGATTCTTTCCACTTGGCCTGACACCACATGCCAATAATAATCTGCACCAATCAGGAGAGACAACTCTGTATCACAAGTGCCTGGGTCTTGATAGTCTGCCAGCTGCAAGCCTTTTCGTTTCATTTCTGCTTGGATGTGCTCACCTGGAATCTTCATCACAGCAGTGCACACTTGTGGAGTTTCGAGAGCTTCCACTTCCACTTTCTGATCTTTGTTCCAGATGCTTTGCAGAGTTACCTTCACTGTGTTGCGCCTGGATGTTGCTGGTGCTGTGGATCCGAAGGTATGAAGAGTGAACGTTTCTTGCTTCATCACAGGTAATTTTAAAGCTCTCACTGTGTTCTCGCTGATGAAACTTCTCTGGCTGCCACCGTCCAGTAAGCAGCGAATGCTTTTACGTCCACCAGGTCCTTCTGCCCACGCTCTTACAGTCTGAAGGAGCACCGTGTTCTGCTTATCGGACTGCATTTTAACAGAATGGGAAGCAAATGAAGAAACTACATCATCTTTATCATCGATGTCTGAAGTGGTTGTTTCTCCTTTCTCACACACAGTGCTATGATGCCTGCCACCACACACAGTACAGGACACTTTGGCTTTGCAGAATCTTGCTATATGCTTCTGTCCAAGACAAACAAAGCATCGTCCCAGTTTCATCAATTTTGCTTTTCGTGCAGCAATTTCAGTTACTGTACACAGTTCTGTTTTGTGCGCTGCGCTATCACAGAAAAGACAGTTTGGTATTTTTTGACTAGAGGTTTGCAGCACTGCAGCTGATGGGATGTTATGTTTTTTCTGCTTCATTTCAATTAATGTCTCTGGTCTTTTAAATGGTTTGTGATAGCGCTGGCTGTCTTTGGAATTACCTGACTTAATCAGTTGCATTGTTCTTTCTCTGCTCAAAATCTCGTTCTGCAGAAATTCCATAACTTCTGAGACCTTCCATTCATCACTGGATCCTCTTTGTCGACTGTACTGAAGTGCAATGTCTTCCGGAATCATTTGTAGCAGAACAGGGCATAACAAGCTGCCATATGCTTCTGATGCAACACCCAGCGATTCTAAGCTACGAATCTGTACTTCACATTCATCGTAAAGTTGTCTCAAAGCACTCACGTCGTAGGATTTCTTCACTGGGCAGAGATTCAACAACTTGGTCATGTGCGCATTAATGAGCAGATCTTTTCTTCCGAACCGGTTCTGAAGCAGATCGATCGCGTGATCGTAATTGCTGTCTGTCAACATCAGTCCCGCTATAGCCTTTGAAGCAGCGCCGGCTACATATGTCTTCAAGTAATTAAACTTCTCTGTTTTACTTAGCGCGTCATTTCTGTGAATGGCCGTTTCAAACTGATTCCAAAAGTCCTGCCACAAGCTAATGTCACCGCTGAACTTGTTGATGATTAACTTGGGTAACTTAACTGTTTGTCCGCGCTGCGCTGGTACTGCATCACGCGGCCTGCTATCAGTGTTTTCCCGAACTCTCTGCATCACGCGCCGCACGCGGGCTTTCGCGCTGATGACTCGCTGGCCATACTCCTCAGCGTCGACAACTTCATTTTCAAGATCCTCCACATCTGTATGCTCCTCTATTTCGTGATCTAACTCCAGCAGCGTTTCCTCTTTTGCAGATAACATGGCTAACAGTTCACATAATCTGTCAACGACTGGATCTTCCTTGCTAACCTCCGTTTCTATGTCTTGCAAAAGTCTCGTCGTGGAACCGCGCACAGCTCTCCGTTTTCTGTGTAGTCTTTCAAGTCGCTCCGCCATTTCGGATGTTGCTTGCAAGTTATCCCGGGTTTCGGCACCAAAGAATGTCGTGTATTTTCTTCCTTGACCAGCAATAATGACCACTGACGACTTGAATTGAATAAACTGAACTGTTTACTGAAGTTTCTGAACTTGAATCATTAGATACAGCGCTCGCACATGAAAACAATCTCTTTCTTTTTTTTTTTCCTTACATACACTGATGCATTATTGGTAGAATTCTCTTAAAGCTGAACACCCCCATTAATGTCAAACTGTTTCTGTTATTATTAAAGATAACAAATTCACATTTCTATTCTGATTAATTCACAACACATATAAAAGATATAAACATTTAGTAAAATGTATCTATATCTTTTCCATATGGGGTAGTAAAAAAGTGGGGCACTAAAATAACAGTGATTTGAATCTATTGAGTACTCCTGCCCTGAGAGAAGCATGTAGTACACTAAAACAACAGTGATTTGAATCTATTGAGAACTCCTGCCCTGAGAGCAGCATGTATCACACTAAAATAACAGTGATTTGTACTCCTGCCCTGAGAGCAGCACGTACTACACTAAACAGCGATTTGAATCTATTGAGTACTCCTGCCCTGAGAGCAGCGTGTAGTACACTAGAATAACAGTGATTTATATCTATTGAGTACTCCTGCACTGAGAGCAGCATGTAGTACACTAAAATAACAGCCATTTGAACTTCTGCCCTGAGAGCAGCGCGTAGTACACTAAAATAACGATTTGAACTTCTGCCCTGAGAGCAGCACGTAACAAACTAAAATAACAGTGATTTTTACTCCTGCCCTGAGAACAGCACGTAGTACACTAAAATAACAGCGATTTGAATCTATTGAGCACTCCTGCCCTGAGAGCAGCGGTGGGTAGTACACTAAAACAACTGCGATTTGTACTCCTGCCCTTAGAGCAGCACGTAGTACACTAACATAACAGCGATTTGAATATATTGAGTACTCCTGCCCTGAGAGCAGCGCGTAGTACACTAACATAACAGCGATTTGAATTTATTGAGTACTCCTGCCCCAAGAGCAGCAACTAAAATTACAGCGATTTGTACTCCTGCCCTGAGAGCAGCGAGTAATACACTAAAATAACAGCGATTTGGATCTATTGAGTACTCCTTCCCTGAGAGCAGCACATACCACACTAAAATAACAGTGATTTGTATTCCTGTCCTGAGAGCTGTACGTTGTACACTAAACAGCGATTTGAATCTATTGAGTACTCCTGCCCTGAGAGCAGCGTGTAGTACACTAAAATAACAGTGATTTCTACCTATTGAGTACTCCTGCCCTGAGAGCAGCAAGTAAAACACAAAAATAACAGCGATTTGTACTCCTGCCCTGAGAGCAGCAAGTAATAAACTAAAATAACAGTGATTGGTACTCCTGCCCTGAGAACAGTGAGAAATACACTAAAATAACAGCGATTTGGATCTATAGGTTGATCAAGCCTGGGTGCGTGTCCCGCGGTTAGCTGTTTACCTTAGCAGCCCAGGTGGTGTCGCTTCTCTTCAGCCACAGCCAATGGCTCGTCCTCTCTGCAGTGTTGGCCAGTTCTTTGATGGCTTGTCTATAACTCTGCCCCCTGACTCCAATTTCCCTAAGAAGCTTCGCTGTTGTGCTGGCTACAAAGCCCCTACACCCCACCTCCACCGAATGCACCCTTATCTTCCAGACTCTGTCGTCTGCCTAAGCTGCTAAGTTGGAATAGCGCAGCTTAGCACTGTTATTGTCTTGCGCTCATACGCTTCTTCGATGGCATCCTCCCAGAAAACTGTCAATTCTATGATAAAGGCGAGCCGGCAGGACTTAGACCAGGGAACGAGGTCTGGTCGCAGGTTGGTTGTTGCAATCTCCTGAGGGAAAATTAGCTTCTGACTTAGGTCGACTCGCATCTGCCAGTCCCTGGCTACATTCAGTGGGGTGAGATTAGGGTTTGAGCGGCTAGCCCTCACCTTTTCCCCCTCTCGAATGAACAAAGGTGGGTGTTGGCGCACATCCTGGTTGTTAAAGGGTTGGGCATTGATGGATGCCCTCTTACACTCAAGCTTGTCGGCTAGACACCTGAGGACCTGGTTATGTCTCCATGTGTATCTGCCTTGAGTGAGGCTGGTCCTACAGCCAACCAGGATGTGCTTTAGTGTTGCAGCGAGCACAAGTGATACTGTGGCTGCCGGTCAGTTGCGGAGTGGCTATCCGGAGAGTCAGGACTTTTCCCGGTGGGCTTGTAGTGTTTCGAGGCCACAAGGGCCAGTTTCACATATACTCGATCTGCAGTTCGTATGCTGTGCGTATTTTTTTCTGTACTCATGTTAACATGTTAGAGCTTTCACATTTTTTTTAAAAACGATCGTTTACGCACCGAGTCTATTTTTGCTGTGCTGCAGGTGCTGGGTGAGCTCGGACACCTGCACCACTAAAGCTTGTACTGCCTGCCCCGTGTTGGAGATGCTGTTTGTGGAACCACGGAGTACAGTTTACTGGAATAAACAGAGTTGGTCAGGTTCACACAAACACCACACACAGGGCGGGAGAGTGACGCAAGACCTGCAATGGGCAACCGGGTTGTTGTTGGATGACTGATGAGGTCAAATCCGTGAGTCTGAAGTGTTGTTCTGGTGACAGGAAAATGAAGACACGACGAGACACATTCAACAGGAATGAGGACCACAGGAAAATGCCCAACAGGAACACAACCGTGAACATACCACAACGATCTGACAAAGGCCACGTTTACACAAAGCCGGGTATTTAGCAAAATTACTATTTAGTAACACTTTATTTGAAGAGGTGTGCATAAGACTGACATGACACTGTCATAAACATGACATAACACCTGCCATGAACATGAAGGAGTCTTTATGAATGTTTATGACTGTTGTCATTAAGTGTCATTCGGTAAATTATGACAGTTTTAGTGCAAAGTTGACATTGTTTAAAAATGTCTTTGTTATGACAACTTGACATTAACAAAGACAAAAATGTCTTGATTATGAAAGCTTGACATTAACCAAGACAAAAATGTCTTGATTATGACAACTTGACATTAACAAAGACAGAAATATCTTTGTTATGACAACTTGACATTAACCAAGAAATCATAACTAGTCCAACGTGTTCCACTTTACTTGAGGTAAAGAGACATATTAATGACACTGTTGTTAAAGCATTTGACAGTGTAATAACCCTTAATGACATTTTTATAACTAGACAATGTGTTCCACTTTATTTGAGGACAAGTAAAATATTCATGTCACAGTTATAATGGTGTCATGACAACCAAAGATAAAACCAACCATAACATATGACAAGGTGATGTAATGTTAACACAAAGCTAAATAACTTCTTTAAGTTTGATAATTAGACCTGTTATGACATATTTGTGACAGGTTGACAGGTTATAATTTCTTGGTTAATTTAATGTCAAGTTGTCATAACAAAGACATTTTTTGTCTTGATTAATGTCAAGTTGTCATAACAAACACATTTTTGTCTTTGTTAATGTCAAGTTATTATAACAAAGAAATTTTAAACAATGTCAACTTTGCATTAAAAGTGTCATAATTTACCAAATGACATTTAATGACAACAGTCATAAACATTCATAAAGACTCCTTCATGTTCATGACAGGTGGTATGTCATGTTTGTGACCCTGTCATGTCAGTCTTATGCACACCCCTTCAAATAAAGTGTTACCGAATATTTTCCCCCTCTCCGTTTTCAAAAATAACATTGTTTACACACCCGCATAAATACGCTGTCGAGCGCCATTATAACTATGCCAAATCTATTGGTGGCAGTGTAGGGAGAAGGATAAAGCCATGCAAGCCAACCAGAATCCTCAGAATCGACAAGATAGAACCTAAAACCCTGTTTCTCCCAGTTCATACGACAACACATGACCGGCGTTTTCAGAAATCTCCACTTTGGCCGGAGTTTTTATAAAAACAGGGAAATATCTGCATTTTCCCTTTCGTGTAAACAGGGCCAAAGACAAGATGAAACTGTGAGCATATATAGGCACAGCTGATCAGAAGCAGCTGGCACCGCTGATTAGTGGTATTGATCGGTAACCACGTCCACACACACACACACACACACACACAATAACAATGACACGAGACAAGGAAGATACTGCGAATTCAGGAATCGAAATGCGACTGTGAAGATCGAGAGAGGAACAGGCCTGAACTTATGTTGTGTTTTGTTTTATTATTTGTGACAGCAGTCGTCCGTGAGGGGCTTCTGTCTTTTACTTTCATTTTGTATTTGTTTTATTTTATGTTATTAAACTTGTTGATTGTTCGCCGGCTCCCACCTCCTCCGTCCAACTACAACGAACCTCGTTACAGACACCTTTGCCATAAATATGTTTATAAGCAACTAAAAAAGCACAAATGTCAGAACATCTCAAAGACAACAAAACACATGTTGGACCCCTAAGGGTTAGTTATATTAATTTATTGGAATTGATAGTTATATTAATAGGTAATATTTGACAAAAGGCTGTTTGGGCCAAAAAGAGGCATCATTTATTAGATAGGTATCACAGTATGATTTCACAGCAATGACTGATTATTTAAATAGTCAGACTAAACCAGGCTCTATCATAATAATGTTACTCTATTCTGCCTCTGCTTGACATGCACATGTCCTTACCCAATGAGGTCATTGGCTACATTGACAATCAATCATCCATATTAATTATGTGTATAAAAGTGCACATATTGAATTAAGCCAGTTGCATTTGGCCACTGTTGAACTCAGACTTTGGGATGTCTGTCTTTCTTTGCATACTCTTGCTTAACTTTCAACTTCATGCAAAGGCAGAAAAGTCTCTTTGCCAAATGATGGGGGACCCAAAATACCCGTTGCTTTCAAAGGATGGAGACGTAACTATTGGAGCACTTTTTCCAATCCACAGCATAGAGACATTACCTTTATATAAGTTTCAGCAAAAACCTCAGCTTTTATCATGCTCAAGGTTTTTTACTTCAAAATCTATTTTGCTCTTAAAAATCCATGCAAATAATGCAGTTTGTTTAACCTTCTGGTTTTATTTCTGTACAGTGTGAGCCTGAGAGATTTCCGAATGGCTCAAATCATGATCTTTGCCATAGAGGAGATTAACAGAAGTGAAAATCTGCTCCCAAATGTTTCTATTGGCTACCGAATTTATGATACCTGTGGTTCAAGGCTATCTTCTATGGGTGCAAATATGGCATTAATGAATGGTGAACAGTTTGCATCAGGGGACAGATGTAATGGACAATCTCCTATTCATGCAATCATAGGAGAAACCGAGTCATCCAACACAGTTATTCTGTCCAGAACTACAGGACCTTTTAAAATTCCAGTGGTAAGAAGCAAAAACACACTAATGTTTGACATAAATATTGATGACTGTTTCACTGTTTTCTTATGCCTTATTTCAGATAAGTCCCTCAGCCTCATGTGAATGTCTCAGTAATAGAAAAGATTACCCCTATTTCTTCAGAACTATCGCTAGTGATTACCACCAGAGCAGAGCACTAGCATTCCTAATCAAATACTTTGGCTGGTCTTGGGTTGGAGCTGTGAACAGTGACAACGATTATGGAAACTATGGAATGGCAATATTTCTGAATACAGCTGAGAAGGAGGGGATTTGTGTGGAGTACTCTGTAAAATTCCAGAGAACAGAGACTGAAAAACTTAAAAATGTGGTAGACACAATACAAAAAGGCACTGCAAAAGTCATTGTTGCATTTCTTACCAATTTTGAAATGAACAATCTACTTGATTATTTAATTATTCAGAACATTACAGGCCTCCAAGTAATTGGTGTGGAGGCATGGATAACAGCCGACAGTATGGTCACTCCTAACAGTTTTCATGTGCTGGGAGGATCATTGGGGTTTGCTGTGAAAAAAAACAATATTGAAGGTTTTGCAGATTATGTTATAAAATCATTCTGGGACACAGCTTTTCCATGCTCACAGACTAAGGGGAATTCTTCTCAATATCAATTAATTTGCAACGCATATCAAGATCTCCTTGTGTTGAAAAGCAACAATGAAGATGTATCTGAACAAAGATACGCAAGCAATGTATACAAATCAGTTTATGCAGTGGCTCATTCACTACACAATCTACTAAAGTGCAAAGAAAAAGAGGGTTGTGAAACAGACCTGAAAATACAACCACAGCAGGTAATAACATAAAAAATATAGACAGAGTTATAGACTGAAAGGGAGAGAACAAGAGGATTCACCAATTTGTGCCTCAAAATGATTTTTTCTCAATAGGTGGTTAAGGCTCTGAAAAAGGTAAATTTCACAATGAAGATGGGAGATCACGTGTGGTTTGACAGTACTGGTGCAGTTGTAGCCCAATATGAAGTTGTGAATTGGCAGCAGGACTCTAATGGATCAATCAAGTTTAAACCAGTAGGATACTATGATGCTTCACTGGCCCCTGACCAACGATTTGTGCTCAACACTGACAACATAATCTGGGCTGGAGGACAGCTGGAGGTAAATGGCTGTAACATGTTTATCATACAGGGTTTGTTTAAAATTGGAAACAAAATGTCAAAACATTTGAACTGGTCTATACAAATAGCTTGATATGATATGACATTAGAAAGGTATTTTTAACAAAACCCTCCACCTTTGCTCAAGGCTTTGCACTAGTTCAAATTCAGAACAGAAAATTTGGTTTCCCCGCCACAAAACTGTTTACATAAGTATGCTGTATAATTTTAAGAATTTGTGAAAGTAAAATAATGACAAATGTATTCAAAACAAAACAGCTTGTTGAATTTCACTATTTAAAAAAAATGTACTGCTTGCATTTCAATGCATTGTATTTTTAGGACTTGCATTTTTATGGTCTAAAATTCGATATGGTCTGATATTTAAGCTGTGAATGTTTCAATTCAAAACATTTCACAAATTCACACACATTATTAAAAAATCAATCCTGGAGAATCCTGGAGTTTGACATATGGAAACCCTAATACTGCAGCACAGTGCCACAATATAAAGTTAAGGAAACTTAACCGAGAGACTCAGATGTAATGTTTGATCTATACATCAGCATCAGGAGAATGTTATAATCTTGTTCATGGTAGAAAAAGCTGCTTACATGTACACGGGGAAAGTAACCACGGAGACTTAAACGTAAATGCATTATGAAAAATTTGAATATTTTGTAAAAGTTCATTTATTTCAGTAAATCTGCTGCAAGTCGTCCTCACCAGCTGGTGGTTCAACCGGGTGTTGATGTAGACCAGAGAGAGTCCATTCAAAAAGTGGAATTACAGAAATGGAGTAAACAGTAAGTACAGGTGAAACAAGATCAAAAGTGAAAATGGTGAAAATCATGCAAAAGTTAATTTCAGTAATTCAACTTAACTCTCAGGTGCTCTTCGTTTCGTAGTCACACTTGTTATCTTCCCGGACAGCTGACCGGACACCTAAAAATTAAACTTTCTCCATCCCAGTAAAACCAATGCAATTTATTTTTGTTCTATAATATTCATTTTTTTTATGTAGTATTTTGAGACAATTTAATTGAATTTATTAATATTTATGCAATATTTATGGTTTATTTTTGCCATGGAAATAGATATATTTTTCTATATATATATTATTTTTCAAAAAAATATTAATGCAGTATTTTAGTTTAATATAGAGTCTAGGCCTTCAGAAGAAAAAAAAAATGTTGAAGAAAATTAGCACCATCTGGTTACAGTATAGAGAAAAGGCGTAGAATCATGGTGAAACCACTAGATGGCATGTACAGCTCTCTGTGGAGAGGCATGTGAGTTCCCCAGCTGTTTCTGAACACATTTTTTTTTTGTTGTTGGTGGATTTGAATATATAGTTGAAACAATCTCAAAAACTATTTCTTATAAAAAAAAATTGACAAAAAACAAAAATTCACAATTTTTTTCCCCGTTTTTTTTTTTTTTTTTTTTACAATTTCCCATTCATTTCCTAGGGGGGTCATTTTTGACCAAAGACCACAAGTGTGACTATTTTTTTAAGACCACTTAGCATGCTCAGATCATGACCTCAACTTTTTTGTGTGTTCACATACATAATGCCATAAAAGTCACCAAGTTTCGTAACATTCCGATGAAGCTGTGATTTTTGTGTGTAGGGGTGGGTATGTCTGTTTTGCACTCTTGATGTTTTAGAGTGTCACCCCATCAATGCTGAGCACTTTTTTTCTGCATTGTGGCCGATTTGTAGATTGTACACAACAATTCTCTAAGTTTTTGTGTTTTTGTCAATTTCCCATTCATTTCCTATGGTCAGTCATTTTTGACCGAAGATCACAAGTGTGACTATTTTTTTTACGACCACTTAGTCTGCTCGGATCATGACCTCAATTTTTTTTGTGTTCACATACCCAATGCCATAAAAGTCACCAAGTTTCGTAACATTCCGATGAAGCTGTGATTTTTAAAATTTCAAACCCGAAAATGTTTCGGTCAGAAATGACCGAAGAGCACCTGAGGGTTAAAAGGTCAAATTATTATATTATATAGACTCATTACATGCACATTGAGATATTTCAAGCATTTATTTGTTACATTTTTGATGATTATGGCTTACAGCTTATAAAAAACTTTTCACAATATTCTAATTTTGACTTTGGGGTTTTCATAAGGTGTAAGCCATAATCATCAACATTGTAACAAATAAAGGCTTGAAATGTCTCACTTTGCATGTAATTGGTCTATATAATATATTATTTTCACCTTTTAAGTTGAATTACTGAAATTAACTTTTGCATGATTTTCACTGTATTTACTTTTGATCGAGTTTCACCTGTACTTACTGCTTACTCCATTTCTACAATTCCGCTTTTTGAATGTACTCTCTCTAGTCTATATCAACACCCGCTTGCACCACCAGCTGGTGAGGACGACTTGCAGCAGATAGAGATTATGCACCAATAGTCTACTGCAATTCCTGCAGTTTCCAATGAAGAATGATTTTAATATTCTGTTGAATTTGAACCACTGAATTTATGTTAACTGGACCCTTGAAGTAGACTTAAAAATTGCCAGGCTTCACCAGGCCTTCCTGGTTATGAGAGGGGACACAGCAAAGGCTCTGTCCCCTCTGTTCTTTAGCCGTGATCGGGGGACAGACAGAAGTCTCTGATCACCAGACCTCAGGTTTCGTGTGGGGTTGTGTGGGGAGAGTAGCTCAGACAGATAGCTTGGTGCAAGGTTATTTACAGATTTAAAAACAAATAAAATAATTTTAAACTCGATTTAGCCAGTGCAGAGATTTTAAGATAGGTGAAACATGATCAAATCTGCGTTTTCTTTTGAGGAACTTTGCAGCAGCGTTCTGTGCCAATTGGAGACGAGCAATGGAATGTTTGGGTATGCCAAAGTAGAGAGAGTTGCAATAGTCTAACCGCGATGTAATGAGCGCATGGATAGCAATCTCTAATGTTTTCTCAGAAAGGGAAGATTTAATTTTCAAGAGGAGATGTAACTGGAAAAAGCAAGCAATCACTGTATTAATTTGTTTTTCGAATTTGAGGTTTTGATCCCAGAGAACACCTTGCAAGATGACTTTGGATCAAGATAGTACAGATCAATGTAACCTCCCACATACTGTGGTCGCCAGGTTACAGGCCTCACCAGGCCTTCCTGGTTATGAGCTCCCACTGATTGTGGTCACCGGGTTACAGGCCTCACCAGGCCTTCCTGGTTATGAGCTCCCACATGCTGTGGTCGCTGGGTTACAGGCTTCACCAGGCCTTCCTGGTTATGAGCTCCCACATACTGTGGTTGCCAGGTTACAGGCCTCACTAGTCCTTCCTGGTTATGAGCTCCCACACATTGTGGTCGCTACGTTACAGGCCTCAAAGGGGCCTTCCTGGTTATAGTTCCCACATACTGTGGTTGCCGGGTTACAGGCCTCACCAGGCCTTCCTGGTTATGAGCTCCAACTTATTGTGGTCGCCAGTTTACAGGCCTCACCAGGCCTCCTGGTTATGAGCTCCCACATGCTGTGGTCGCTGGGTTACAGGCTTCACCAGGCCTTCCTGGTTATGAGCTCCCACATACTGTGGTCACCAGGATACGAGCTCTCACATACTGTGGTCGCCAGGTTAAAGGCCTCACCAGGCCTTCCTGGTTATGAGCTCCCACACATTGTGGTCGCCAGGTTACAGGCCTCACCAGGCCTTCCTGGTTATGAGCTCCCACATACTGTGGTCGCCAGGTTACAGGCCTCACCAGGCCTTCCTGGTTATGAGCTCCCACACATTGTGGTCGCTAGGTTACAGGCCTCAAAGGGGCCTTCCTGGTTATGAGTTCCCACATACTGTGGTGGTCAGGTTATAGGCCTCACCAGGCCTTCCTGGTGATGAGCTCCCACACATTTTGGTTGCTAGGTTACAGGCCTCAAAGGGGCCTTCCTGGTTATGAGTTCCCACATACTGTGGTAGTCAGTTTACAGGCCTCACCCAGCCTTCCTGAATGTGGGCTCCCACATGATGCGGTAGCCAGACTACAGCCTCACCACCTTCCCTGAGCACTTTGCTCCCACTCTGTGGTCACCAGGCTTCAGGCTTCATTGGCCTTCCTGGTTGTGAGTTGTCACATGTCAGGTTGCAGGCTTCACCAGGCCTTCCTGAATGTGAAACCCCCACTTTTCGTGGTCGCTAAGTTGTAGTGGTGAGTCTTCACATGTCAGGCTGCAGGCCTCAGCGGCCTTCCTGAATGTGAGCTCCCCATGCATTGGGACTATCGAGTGTTAGGCCTTGTCAGGCCTTCCTGATTATGGGTTCCTAGGAGAAGTACACTAACCCCTACTTCACCTATTATTGTGGTAAATCACATGACGGGATGTCTTGTGTACTTTCTAAAATCCATTTTGTATGGTAAGGGTCACGCGTGGTATGCTTCGGTCCCTTCTTATGTGGCTCAGACCCCGGTCTTCCCTTGGGTCCCACTTTAAGAGGCGTCCTGTCACTGGCTAACTTCTGGAAGAAGTAGCTTCCACTTGGTGGAGTAAGCTCCCACAGGTTGTGGTCACCAGGCTGGGTCTCACTGACCTTCCTGAGTACGAGCTCCCACCCAATGTGGTCGCCAGGTTACAGGCCTTACCAGGCCTTCCTGGTCATGAGCTCCCACACACTGTGGTCGCCAGGTTACAGGCCTCAACAGGCCTTCCTGGTTATGAGCTCCCACATATTGTGGTTGCTGGGTTACAGGCCTCACCAGGCCTTCCTGAATTCAGAGTGAAGTACACAAACCCATACTTCACCTATTATTGTGGTAAGTCACCCGACGAGATGTCTTGTGCACTTTTTTTTAAAATCCATTTCTTATGGTGAGGGTCACGCGCAGTATGCTTCGGTCCCTTCTTATGTGGCTCAGACCCCGGTCTTTCCTCGGGTCCCACTTTAAGAGTTCTTAAGAGCTAACTTCTGGAAGTAGCTCCCACTTGGTGTGGTTTTTCAGGTACACCAGGCTGGGTCTCACTGACCTTCCTGAGTACGAGCTCCCACCGGATGTGGTCGCCAGGTTACAGGCCTCACTAGGCCTTCCTGGTTATGAGCTCCCACATACTGTGGTTGCCAGGTTACGAGCTCCCGCATACTGTGGTCGCCAGGTTACAGGCCTTACCAGGCCTTCCTGGCCATGAGCTCCCACACACTGTGGACGCCAGGTTACAGGCCTCAACAGGCCTTCCTGAATTCAGAGTGAAGTACACAAACCCATACTTCACCTATTATTGTGGTTAGTCACCCGACGAGATGTCTTGTGCAGTTTTTAAAATCCATTTCATATGGTGAGGGTCACGCGCGGTATGCTTCGGTCCCTTCTTATGTGGTTCAGACTCCGGTTCTTCACTTTGGGTCCCACTGTAGATGTGTCTTTGTCGCAATACATTACGACAGGCACTTCCCTTGTTCAAGCTATCTCCCACAACTGTGGTTTTAGGTCTGATTAGACCTTTTTCGAGGTAGCCCCACATTGTGGGTCTGTCAGGTTTTTAGCCTATGGCTTTCCTGAAGGATGAGCTTCCACATGCTGTGGTCATTGGGTTTCAGGCCGCACCTGACATGAGCCCTCATGTTTCAGAGCTCCCTACACAGAGGGTCATCAGGTCTTAGGTCTCATTGACCCTCCTGATTTTGATCCCTCTCTTACTTCCTCAGTGCTCAAAAGCGAGCACTGGGTGGAAACTCGTGGATTGAGTGTACGATTCCCGTTGTTTTGAGGTTGAGTCACACTCTCCGGAGGATCCCGTCTCTGTGATCCGAAACTCGATGGTTTCTGCCAGCTTCGCGGGCCTTCAGTTTTTGGATGCCTTTCCTAGGCAATTTCCAGAGGCTCTGTCTTGGACGGACAGGCTATGGCCAGACTGTGTGTCTTAGTACAGATCACCAGGCCAGCCTAGGGGCATTTCAGGAGGAGTGTTCTCCTGAATAGTGACTGGCTGGGGGTCCCTTGGCCCCCTAGCCACACTCCCTAGAAGGGACCCCTTCTATTTTGAAGTTGTGGTCCTAAAGCCTTTGAGCTGGCCCCGATTTACCCACGTTATTACGTTCTGGTTTTTCTTGGTTCATTAGCTTGGGCTATGACCGGTAGGGAGTGCTGTCACTGACAGCCCGATGTAACATAGGGTGAGTGGTTTCAGTGTTCCTTGGAATTACTGGTTCTGAGTTGTCACTGCCTTTTCGGCATGCACTCCCCTCAGCATGGCGGAGTGGGTATTTCGTTCCCCACTGCGTCATTCGACGTATTGTTGAGTTCCCTTCGAAAGGTAACGTCTCAGGTTACGACTGTAACCTATGTTCCCTGAGAACAGGGAACGAGACAATACGTCTCGTTGCTATGCCTCGGGGCCTGCCTGCAACAGTCCCTTCAGACGATAGGATGTTGTCACGGTTTCAAGGCGCCCTTCTTATACATCCAGATTGATGCGCTCATCATTCAAGCTGATGATGCACGGGCTGTCGCCGGTCAACCTGATTACTGTGAGTTGATATTTGATTTCAGACACCTGTCACGCCTGAGGCGTTCCCCATTGCGTCATTCGACGTATTGTCTCGTTCCCTGTTCTCAGGGAACATAGGTTACAGTCGTAACCTAAGACGTTTTTCTTTAGCTTTTAACTCATTGTGAGTTTCTGTCATGAATGTGTAGTTTGTCCTTGTCTTTTATTTTATTTTTCTCATCATGTGTATTGTTCAGCACTTTGGTCAGCCTTGTTGCTGTTTTTAAATGCTATATAAATAAACACAAACTTGAAACTTGAAACAATTTCCAACAGCGTTTTTGAAATTTCGAATATACAATTGCAAGTGAACAAGCTTTTTTGTTTCAAATACATTTGTCATTATTATACTTCAATCACATTGGTTTCAAAGAAGATAATATGATTCACATTACCAAGAATTAACTGAATATTAGAAAACGAAAATTGCATTCATTCTTGGTGTACAAGGAAAATAGTTGTGGTCTAAAATGTATACAGTGTATTAATATTGCTTACTGACACTGGAAATTCAGAGAAAAAGGTCAAGTGACAATGAGGTTTGATCATATGTACAAAAGCAACAGCAGAGGGAATTACTGAACAAGTTTTGGACAAAATGGCATCACTACAATTGTGTTGAATTTATGTAATAGAACTTTGAATTGAATTTCATTCCAAAAACATTTTCACTGACCATGAGCATGTCTCCCATTGCATATTGGCATCAATTAACATTGCAGGTATGAACGAAAAAATCACAAATATTTTATTTTTCAAAGTAAAATTAGATAATTGTGTACAGTGTATTTTTCTATGTAGAAGCCAAGGTCTGTGTGCAGTGAGAGTTGTCCTCCTGGCACCAGGAAGGCTGCACAGAAAGGAAGACCTGTCTGCTGTTATGACTGTATTCCATGTGCAGAAGGAGAAATCAGTAATGAGACAGGTAATTTTCAGCACATCTCTTAGTTTCGATCCATATATTTGTTTTCTTGTTTTTGTTTTCGAAATGGAAAAATTAAGAAACTGTTCATTTATCACATATTCAACCCTTCTCATGAACATACATAACAAATCTCGGATAGTGTTTTCATTACACTTTGTTCTAATCCGCTAACTGGAATATAAATAAAAACAAAATGGATAAACAGCTTGAATTTTCGATCTCTACATGGGTGGGAATAAAACCCATTCCTGTGATTGGTCAGCCAAAGATCAAGCTGTGTCATCATATCTTACTCAGCTCTGCGCAACAGAATAATAGTCATCTGAGACAGTTGTTTGGATTATTACAGAGTTTATTGCAACCACATTTAATCTCTTTCTCATCAAACATCCAGACTAATAAATGGCTCGACACAAACCGTCCCGGGGTAGAGCCTAGACAGATCTTTCTTCTGTGTAGGCTACACCTAAATTTGCGGGCCGTGAAATACTGATTTGGTGTATTAAATAATAATTTACATGGCATTTGCTCTCACAACTGCCACTAGTCTAAGTATTTAGCACACCACTTGTTTTGTTTAGCTGACCAAATCTCAAAATCGGTGTTTGTGTGTTCAGACCTCCGCCGGCAAGAGCATTAAAGTGATCAGAAGTCATTAATTTTCAATTCTAGCTCTGCTGACACAAAAGAACACAGAAGCCATACCACACAAATGGCTTTTAATTATTTTGTTATTAAACATGTAACTGTTAAAGGAGTAGTTCATTTTTCAAAAAACTTTTGCTGATAATTTACTCACCCCCATGTCATCCAAGATGTCTTTCTTTCTTCAGTTGAAAAGAAATTAAAAGGGAACCTTGAAAGGGAACCTCAAGCTGCGTTAGAACGCAGAGGGAACGCTCTGCGTGATTGCGTCGTGAAGCCTCTGTAGAATCAGTCCAATGAGAGAGTAGGACGTCATGTGACGTCATAGACCAGGAAACTATAAAGCACCCTTGAAATCAGACCGCAACAGCTTCTGTTGCCTTCAGCAAGCGATCTCTCTTCTCTGTCCTTGTCTATTTATTGTTGTCTGTTAAGCACACTATATATATATATATATATATATATATATTAAGGGTGTAACAATTCGTTTTAACAACGATACGATTCGTATCACGATTTGTGGTTGTCGATACGATTCAAGGACGATATTGGTTAAAGGAACACTCCGACTTTTTGGGACTTTAGCCTATTCACCTTATCCCCCAGAGTTAGATAAGTCCACACATACCTTTTTCATCTCCGTGCGTGCGATAAGTCTGTTTGACACACCCACCGCTAGCCTAGCTTAGCACAAAGACTGGATGTGAATGGTTGCAGCTGAGTGAGTCCAAATGAGTGACAAAATAACGCAAACGTTTTCCTATTTACATGTTGTGATTTGTATAGTCACAGACTGTACAAATATCAAGGCCATATGAGACACAGACATCTTTTAACCATATAAATACTATATTTTCTGAAGGGGAAGCACTGCTACTTGGGCAGAGTGATAACCATCACCTGAGACGCACCGTGACGAGGAGCAGAGAGTTCGCTCAGTGTTTGAGTAAAGAGTCAGCAATTACTAACGTTTAACAGAAAAGCATAGTTTATCATGGGTGTTTGCTTTATTGAATGAGCTGTGACAATAAACAGGGGAGACCAGGTACAGCATGTTTCATTGAATTCCAACCAAAAACGCATCCAGATTTATAAATATCACAGAACATGAATAAATAATTATTATTATTATTACAGGTATCAATATATCAATATATTTTAAATGCAATTTATTAGCTGAACCAAATGTATTCAACAGCATATACAGTATAATTGCATTACTATAGGATAGAATAAGGGGAAAGTAATAGCACAAATTGTTTTTGCACAATGAACTCACAGCCTATCGTACCCTTTTGCACGCTCAAGTTCGTTATTTCCATGGTTATTTCAAATTTAGGCTACTAGGCGTGCCGCACGCAGGGTGCAAGTTCAACGCGCTCGTTTTTTTCCAAGCGCGTCCGCGCCGCATCAAGATAAACATATTCATACCCTAATCATATAATAGTGTCACTAATGTTACATTAGATCTGGCTAATGGCACTGTTACAGTAGGTCATCTAAAAACATAACGGAACACTTCCCTCAGCCGCAGGTGATCCTCTTGTCCTGTCTGTGCTATCGATGGGATGGCCGTATCCTTCAGCACATTATGGTCCGTGTGGCAAATTCCATTTTTTCAAAATAGTCGTCCTCATTGAAATGTACCGAGCAAACATAATGTCCCTTGATAATCTATTTAGGTGTTTGGATCAATATCCAGAGTAAGTAAGTCAGCCATTTCTATATCCAGTCAGCGAATTCTGTGAAACATGGTATTACCTCCCCTGTTTACAGTCACAGCTATTTACAAGCGAAAACCCATGACTATAAACTACGCTTTTACTATTTATAATTGCTGACTCTGTTACCCAAACTCTGAGCGAACTCTCCTCACCACGGCGTGTCTCCGGTGATGCGTTTCACTCCGCCAAAGTAGCAGTGCTTCGCCTTCAGAGAATAGTTCCCAGGTTTTATATGGTTAAAAGATGTCTGTGTCTCATTTGACTTTGTTATTTGTACATTCTGTGACTATACAAATCACAACATGTAAATAGGAAAACGTTTGCGTTATTTTGTCACTCATTTGGATTAGTATGAAAGCTGCAACCATTCACATCCAGTCTTTGTGCTAAGCTAGGCTAGCGGTGGGTGCGTCAAACAGACTTATAGCACGCACGGAGTAGGGCTGGGTATCGATTCAATGTTCCAATTCGATTCGATTTCGATTCTCAAGCTCTCAAATCGATTCGATTTCGATTCTCGATTCGATTTCTATTCTCGATTCAAATTTTGATTCTCGATTCAACTCAATGAAAATCGATTTAATGCTTATACAATTAATAAAAAAGAACAGTGAATTTAAGTTTATAAGTGGATAATTAATAAAAAGAAATTAAGAGCCACAAACCTGTATATTAAACTTTTTATTTTATTTTGATACAAGATCAAAAAGTCAGAACAGTCCCATTCCTTGATCAAACAGGATCAGGTTATTTAATTTTTAAGATAATATTACAACATTAGCTGTAAAATGGAGGCTGATGAACAATGTAGGACAACTAATACTGGCTTATTGGTCATAGTTCACCCAAAAATAAAATAATTGTGTCATTATTTATCTATGTATTTATCACATGTATATATATATATATATATATATAAAAATTCTGTTAAGCAATAAAAATAAAAAGATTTTAACAAAATGGGTAACCAAACTGTTTTTGGTCTCCATTAACTTTTTTTTTTCAATACTATATGGAAGTCAACTTTTGTGTCAACAGAAGAAAGAAATTCATAGATGAATACATCCATAAATTACACTTTCACATAAAACTAACACTTGGACTCTACCAATAGTAGGCTCAAAGTACAGTAACACTGCCTCATTGGAAAATGTAATTTTTTTGCAAGAAAAGGAGTTGGTCAACGTGCTCTGGCAGAAGGCAACTTCTTTGAGCTGTAATAATGTCTCCAGCTGTGGAGAAAATTCTTTCAGCAGGGACACTGGTCCCGGGAACACAAAGGTAGCGTTTTGTCTGGAGGGACAAAAGTGGGTACACTCCTTCATGCTTACACCACCACTTAAGTGGATCATCTGAGAGAGGTATAGGTGTAACTTCTCTGTATTTGCCAACTTCTTCTCGTGCTCTGTCAGCAACTGTAGCACAGACTACTGAAGCTACTGGTGCATATGCTGCCCCAAGCAGATCCAACAGAGCACAGGATTCTTTTGACCTCTTTGGTGGGGCTGGGGAGGGGTCACTATCACCTTCACTAAGGGATTTTTGCTCCTGGACAGGTGCACTGCCTCCATTACCAGCACTATCAGATCATTGCTGCTGATAGTTAGAAAAAATTAAAATGTCAATTAAAATTACATTTGAATTTAATTTTGCCCATTTTATTATTTTACTTTAATTATATTTATATGCAAATAGAAATACTAAGTTTTGGTTTGTTTTCATTTTTAAAACTTTATACAACAGCATATACCTTAACTTGCTCAAGAGTGACAATCTCACTGATCAATGTTGTGAATGTGTCCTCACGTTCCTCATCAGAGATGAAAGGAAGAGTCTTGAAACGAGGGACCAGGGCAGATGCAACATACAGCTTCTCTTTAAGATTTGCATATCTTTAAAGATCAGACAATAACATTGAAATTACCTTATGCCATCAACATAATCAATGTTAAAATTAACAATAATGTAATCTGTTGTAACATCCACACAAATGTTTAAATTTTTTAAAGATAGTACTATCTGTTTTTTTAAACATACCTAAACCTCAAGTTGTCATGTATGGCAGATTTGAGTTCCTTAAAGAGCATATTGCAGGTAAAAAAAAAAAATCGAAATTTATAGATAAACTTGTATGAAAATACCATATGAAAAGTTAATGCAGGATTTAAAATGTTTTAAAACAACATAAGGACACTAATTTAGAAGATAAAGTGAGCGTTTCTTGGACTGCTAGTAAAAACGGCTTTTTTTTCAACATCGCGTCATTTGACGTCATAGCAGGGAGCCGCAGCCTCGGCTCAGTGAGAGCAGGCTGGTGTTCAGTGAGAGCGCTCGTCAGTCAGTGTGTGCTATCGTTAGTTTTTGCATTTTAATTTATCATCGTCATGGTAAATTATTGTGTTTGTGGAGATTGCAAAAACTCCAGCCTGTCAGGACTTCAAGATTGAGTCCACAAGTTTCCATTACAATAAAAGGGACGGTGCTATATAGCCTATCTTTCGTTCCTGGTGCGGGTTGAGCAGGTGAAGAGACGGGATTTCTCTTCTGCATCGGCTCGGGAAACGCGGTCGTGTGTAGCGTTCACTTCAGATCAAATGATTAGCATCCCGGCGATATGATGGAGTTCAACAT